AGCTGCTGGCTACAACTCACAAACTAACAGCTCACCAGAGAGAAGAGAGAGAGAGAGAGATGTCATATCAGCAGTGAGCTGTGATCCAGAAATAGAGGACACAAAAGCTCACATGGGAAGCATTTGCATCTCTTCATTGCCAAGTGGGGACAGTCTAAAGAAGCCTTCCAATTGCTCCTCACCTTTCATTGATATGTGCCACAGCCACATTCAGTGCTGCCATGAGATCTCTTCATGGGTATCTAAGCCACTGCTCTTGTTACTTTGGCATCTTTAATCATGTGCACCAATCTCTCTCTCTCTCTCTCTCTCTCTCTCTCTCTCTCTCTCTCTATATATATATATATATATATATATATATATATATATATATATATATATATATATAAAGAATGGATCTGGAACTTGTATTACAGAAAGCAATTAACACTCAGAAATGTATCTCAACCTCAGAGACAAATGCAACATATATATAAAGAATCAGTTAGCTGGCTATTCATCACTACCCCAAGGAAAAAGCTACAAGCATACATGAAAAACCTGTAAAAGTACTCCGGAGAGGCAAGAGTATCAGGCCTTTCTCACTCACTAGCTGCTGCCAAAACCATAGCTGTCTTTCTTCTTACCAATCTCGATTTCATGTGTCTGTCGGCCTTCAGTGCTCGAAGACGATGGATTCTGACCGTACTCGCTGGTTTCTGCGCTGTGATCGCCGCCGGTATACTCTTGAGTCGTCAGTGCCATTTTCCTGAACTTCTTCATATCCTCGTTGTACTGGTTAGAATCATAATCAGAGCTGCCATATGAACCGTAAAACCTGCTATGGCCCGGTCTGATGCCTTCATTCAAATCTTCAAGAGACACATCTCCTTCCAAAGCACGGATGACCTGATTGGTTTTTGGACGGATTTGGGTTAGTAAAATGTTGGAAGTAGCAACACTAAGTGCAAGATTAGTTCAAAAGTTCATATAGTCGTTTAGCTTCAGACAGAAATCAATTAACTCAGACTGTAAGTGCAAGATTAGCTCAAAAGTTTGTAGGCTTCTAGAAAATAAGATGCAGATTATTGCATAGAGAATATTCCATCCAAATGTCATTGTCTGTCAAGCAAGCAAAGAGAGAGCTGACTTCAAAGAAGGCACATGTTTCCCAATTTCACATATTCATTAAACATGCCAAACATAACTTCAAATTCATAAAAAACCTAATGCAAACACATCCAAACAAAGAACATGCATTCGAACAATGTGACAACAGAATAATGAAATCTAATTAAAAAAATACAGAGTAGGGCAATGAAACAGCACCTGGCTCATCTTTGGCCTTCTTCGTGCTGAGTGGCGCACACAAACAGCAGCACAGGCAATCATGCGAGCCATCTCATCAGGGTTATAGTTCTTTCCCAATTTTGGATCAACAAGGGCATCATAGTTGCCATCTTCTAGAGCTCGAGTAAGCAGTGGTCTTGCCTGCAGTTACAAACAAATCTAAGAACCGGACATGGAAGGTAAGCAGAAGCAACATCATGGTAACAAAACCAAGGCATGCAAAATACTAACCCAGTCAACTAAGCTATCATCCATGAAAGTTTGGGATGAATCAACAGGACGCCGTCCAGTGATTATCTCCAGAAGCATGACACCGAATGAAAAGACATCTGATTTATCAGTGAGTTTGCCTGAAGATGCATATTCAGGTGCCAGATAACTGCAAGAATATGTAGGCTACAGGTTAAACTACAGTGTTATCACGGACATAAAGATCTTAGAAAACATCTTAAATTCTTCATGCTTGCTACAGTTCAGGAGATAACCACTACAAGATTTCTAATTGTGCTGTAAGACTGGAATATTGATAGAAGATAAGATTTCCCCAACTATATGAGGAAATCTCTCTACTCTGTTGAGGGAAATTCTCTATTCTGTTGAGGAAAATCCAATCCTCCCTCCTAATCTGTATAAATAGGAAAGGGACATATTAATGTATTAAAGCTAAAGTTACTTCAATAAAACTTCTTCTATAATTTTTATCTAATTTCTATCTTCTATCATGGTATCAGAGCCACTTGCCTAGAACAAGCTCTCTTCTCGCTGTTGCTTCTCCACCTCCTGTGATAAAAGAAAAGGCTTTCTACTACTGCTTTTCCGTCATAGGCCGTCCGTGCGATAAATCTTTCCTCCTCGGCGAACGACAATTGTCTTCCCTTCCGCTGTAGCTTCTCTAGTGCTGCGCTCACCGACACTACTCCACCTTTCCTTCTTTGCTGTAGCCTTCTTCTCTATTGTAGTATCATTGCAACTTCCTCCTTTGTTGCAGCTTCCTCCCTCCTCTACTGCTGTACCTCTATTGCAGCTTTCTCCTCTGCTGCAATATCGCTGCAACTTGCAGTTTTCTCCTCTGCTGCAGCCGTCGCAATCGTAACAACAGCAGCAGCGATATGCTCTTGCCCGACTCACGAAGCCTCTGACTCGTAAACCATTCTTTACATCGATCTAAGATTGGTAGACATGATAGAAGATAAGATTTCTCCAACTATATGAGGAAATCTCTTTACTCTGTTGAGGGAAATCCTCTATTCTGTTGAGGAAAATCCTCCTTCCTAATCTGTATAAATAGGAGAGGGACATGTTAATGTATTCAAGCTAAAATTACTTCAATAAAACTTCTTCTATAATTTCTATCTAATTTTTATCTTCTATCAAATATAATAGAAGAAACATCTTTAATCATGTGCTGTGAGAATTAAAGTTTCGACATTTCAACAAGGCTTTGATAGCTAGTAGACCAGATTCTCAGTAAAATATTGACAGAAAATAAGTAACAAAAACCCATAGAGCAAAGACCATAAGTTTCACAAAGTGCGTCTTTAGAAGAAGCCATCTAGGCAACATAAACAAGTCAAAAGACAAAGCAAATTGTAATGAGGAAGAAGGAAGCATACCCGAAGGTCCCCATAACTCTTGTTGAAACATGGGTGTCACTATCAGAAGCAATCTTCGCAAGCCCAAAATCTGCAACCTGCAAAATCATGAGTAGATAAGCTAAAGAGGAAGTTAACAAAAATTTGCAGCACAAAATAAAGCTCGTTGATCTGGAAGGTTTTAGAAAAAGCAAAGGTATACATGGAGAAAATGATAAAGAAAAAAGGAGCACTTGCATCTACTTCATCAAATCAAATCAGTGTTGCTAATATGTTTTATTATGGGACAAACTGCATCACTAATCCTTGAACTTTGGATCAAATAAACTTATCTGGTATATCAGTTTAGTTGACAATTCAAGAGGATATGCCCTAATTTTTGTTTTGTTAATCATGCTAGGCATGTTTGACAACTTTTCTCACTGAGATTTATGACATACACAAGTCTAGTGATGCAGCTAGATCAGCTTTTCGCCAAGGTTTATAACTACAAGTTGATTGTCGGACCTCATCAAATTGAAAACTGAAGTTAAGAATGCCAATTTTTAAAATTTGAAGTTCTAGGATCAGTTAAATTAACTGGAAGTCCAAGGACTAATTATGCAATTAACCATTAGTGCAAAGACATCATTTGATAAAGAAGTTTTTAAAGTGATAGAAAAAATTTTAAAAAACATCAAGCTAATTTGTTGAATGTAAGTCTCATGACAAATTAAAAGGCTGTTAGTGGACATTTTCTTGCCTTAAAGAGTATGACAAAATATAAGCACAACCAGATTTCTCTAATCTCAATTTTATCCGGTTAAATTTGAGTCATTGGCCACCAAAAAAGTGTCATGAGGAACTAAAAGATTGTTAGTGGATGCTTTCTTGCCTTCAAAATATGACAAAATATTAGCACAACCAGATTTCTTTAATCTCATTGGGTGTTCATCTGGTTAAATTGAGTCATTGCGCCCCTCCAACCCCCACCCCCCCCCAACACCAAAAATAGAAAAAGTTGGTCTTCTTTGACAACTTGAAATTTACAGGAATTTCATTTGATACGCAGCACATTCATAACGATTGAGAGATCAGCTGTGATTATTTACTTCTTGCATCCAGAAAAAAAGCCAACCCATTCTGACCAAGCCAGCTTTTACATTCATCAGTTAAGACATGGGATGAATAGTGGATCTGGTCAAGTGAAATGAACTCCAATCTACAGATTGATGCAATAAATCTTGTTCAAGTGGTATGCTAGATTCCATCACATGTAGTGGGGCCAAATCAAATGAAGACATTGTTTTTCATGCTCTTCAAACTCTAAATTTGACAAAATACATAACTGTTCTCAGTATGTGAGGAACCATATATTAAATGCAGAAATATTCTGTTCTTAGCTCTGGTTGTGTATACAAGAAAGACAGTCTGGTACTTCAACTAGAACATGATAAACCTAAAAAGGTGTATGCATACCTTTGCCTCAAATTTGTAATCAAGAAGAATGTTGGCTGCCTTTATATCGCGGTGAATAATCTTAGGGTGGCCTGAAGATGAAAATGCAATTCCATTAGGAACAAAGTCAGAAAATAAAGTTAGGCAGATCAACAGTAAGAAACAAATTTTTAGAAAAGTATTAAGGTATCAAAAATGAGAACAAACTCACAGTCTTCATGAAGATATGCCAATCCCTTTGCAGAACCCAGTGCAATTTTCAGTCGTGTAGGCCATTCCATAGTTGGTCGACCTCTTCCTGGACATAAACTACTTTGAAATGAAACGATCTAGCAGCAAAATAGTAATCCAACGAAGGATGAAAAAAGTCTAAAACATCACAATGAAAAACAACTAGTACAGAGTCTCACGTATTGTAGTATACATTGTGGGGACAAATCCTACCTTATTGCAGGATTGTAATCAAAAGGCGTAGAGATTCAACCTCTATTATCTCTAATCAAACTCTTGTATACAGTACTAGCAATCAAACAATAGTCACAAGGACCAATTTTATAATTAAATGCCGCAAGTAGTTCAATGCAATCAATATTTCTGAAATTAGACAAGTTAATTCAGAGAATTTAGCAATTAACTTGTTGAGTAATTACCAACTGGGTCTTCTTGACCTTTTAAGTTCACTTAATAAATCCAAACATAATGGACTGGACTAAATATGTTACATGCATAAAGCTGATGCAAAAACCTGCTGAATGGTCCCTCTCACCTGAATATGCTTATCAAGATCAAGATGTATTATATATGATAAAAGACACTTACCATCTAAAAGTGATCAAGAATGAATTTCTAAAAAGATTATGTCATATAAATTTTCTTACATCAAGTTGACACAAGGAATGTTAGTATCATGATCAGAGAGCTTAGCAACAAAAGAAGATAAATAGAACACAGCAGAATCATCTAAGCTAAAATTCCCAGCTGAAAAGATAATAGAATGGCTTACCATGCAAATGGAATTCCAATGTATTGTTCGGAACAAATTCATAAACAAGCAGCCTCCTGCCTCCAGAAATGCAGTACCCGACCAATGAAACAAGATGCTTGTGATGCACACGACTAATGATCTCAACCTCTGCCTGGAATTCACGCTCGCCCTGTCCGCTACCGGTTTTTAATTGTTTGACTGCAACCTCCTTGCCATTGGGAAGCACTCCTCTGTGAACATAACCAAAACCACCTTGTCCAAGGAGATTAGCTTCAGAGAAACCATCTGTCGCCCTAGCCAGTTCGTCATAAGTGAAGGTACTTTTTGAGAAGCCAAGGGCAACACCAGGAGATGGTGGAGTCAGTGGAACCTCAGACCCAGAATAATTGGAGCCAGAGCCTCCACTGCTGTTTATCATAGGTGGAGGAGGTGCAGGCAGTGCATGGTTTGGTGGGTGCGGAGGACGCGAAGCAAATGGTGGAGGAGGAGGAGGTCCTGGAGGCACTTTGACGACATGATCTGCTAGAGGTGGGGCATTCTGTTGCCAATACTCGCCATACCGTTCATCTGAAAACAACCCCCACATTCAGTTCGTTCAAATATCTTTTGCCAATTGGCAATCCTAAAATGCCATAAGAAAGGCAGCTACATTATATTCAAACTGATTCCTAAAGAAGAAATAATAAGGCAACCATAACAATCCTCCTTACAGGATTAAGGATGTCATCATGTGATGCACACTAGCAGCAAGTCAACACCTGTTCAATGCAAATCTTATTTGCTAAACCAGACAGAAATTAGAATTCTCAGGACTACTACTTGTTAGGATTTACACCAAATGTTAGGCCATCTTCTATGTCTCCAAAATTGCAGACATCAAATCAAGCCTTACTCGGGACTTCGATTCACAAAAAAATAAGCAATTACTTTGACAAAACAACCCAATCCCTTCTTATTCTTTGCTTAGACGATTAAGACTCGGTCGGGTTTAATTGCCCTTTTCTAAGTGCCAAAGAAGGTTTCATAGATATAAATTATAATCATGAGCAATCATCAGGAACAATATATATGAAAAAGCAAAATCTGTACCTTTGACTCGGTCATTAAATTCTTAGCAATAATTTATACCATCTCCTAGTTCAAAGATCTACCTTTTCTCCTATAATAAGTCCGTCATCAAATGATCTTAAACCACAACAGTATTCCCAAAAATACAGGAAGAACAGGAGTTTAAACTACAACAATAATCCCAAACCGAGGGGAGGAACAGGAATTTTTGTAAGCACTGTGCAACAGAACGGATCTGAGCTGCAACGTAGGCTATGGATCACGTAAAAGGATTAGGTAGAGTTTTTCTTCCGTAGATCTATTCCAAAGAAAAGTAGATCCAACCTTTCTTTTCTGCTGGAAGCGGCGGGGGAGCTCCGTAGTAATGGGACGGCGGTCGCCGCGGCCGGCGCTTCTTTTTCCAACAACAGATGCAGGCGAAGCTCAGCAGCAAGAGGATGACCACCCCGCCCACCGCGACTCCGACCACGACCGAGGTCGAGACGGAGCTCGACGACGGCGATGGGGAAGAGGGCAGTGACGCGGTAGACAAAGGAGTCTCGGGTGACGGAGGAGTAGGCGAGGAGGGAGGAGATCCACCGGAGGGCAACGGCGGGGACGGGGCGGAAGGTGTCGCCGGCGGAGTAGGAGAAGAGCCGGAAGGGCTGGAAGGAGGCGGCGAGGCCGACGGCGGGAACGACGAGTTGGCGGGGGAGGGCGGCGGAGTGGACGGGATGGCGGGCGACGGAGGGGAGGCCGGGGACGGCGCCAAGGGGGTGGCTTGGGGAGGGGAGCCGGCTGGTGGTGCGGGGGAGGAGGTTGGCGTCGGGGTCGACATGGCCGACGAATGCAGTAAGTGGGTTTCCTCCTCCTCCTCCGCCTCTCTCTCTCTCTCTCTCTCTCTCTCTCTCTCCGCCTTGTCGAAGGTGGTGGTGTGAAGTGGGCAGCAATGGAAGCTTGGCGGAAGGATGGAGAGATTTTGCTGTCCGATCCAACATCAGGGTACAGCCTTTCTGTCACAGAATCGACTCCGGGGACCCACACAAAGTGGTCCACGTAGGACAATACAGCCCACGATATCTGCATCCTGCCTGAGCCTACACAGCTCATCCAGAACAGTGAAAGGCAAGCAACAAAGAGAAAGGCGTATACCCATGTGGACTCAACTGAGAACGACTCTTGTACTGTGCATGGCTCTCCACCATTCCATTCCACTAATTCCTTTTCACAATTAGAGCTGATTTTTCATTCTCTCTCTCTCTCTTAACTGAGAGGACTACTCTTGCTTGGCTCTCCACCATTCCATTCCACGATTCCTTTTCACAATTAAAGCTGATTTTTCATTTTCTCTCTCTATTTGATAAAATCATTTATTCTGAGTCGAAACCAAAAATTTATAAATCCGTACAGATATATATATTACCCAAAATAGATAATTTTTTACGAGCCTAGAACGAGGGCCTGTACCAATGGTCGATCGACCAAATTATCCCTTATCAGATTGACGCTAAAAGAAGAGTTCAAGGCCTGCACCTCAACCGAACAAACTCGTTTTCGAACTGTATGTCTTTTGGAGCTCACAATGAAAAGAATAAAATCGTACTGGTACACCGATGTCCAAAGTAGATAATTCCTCACGAAGTCTACATGTCACATCAATGATCGACCTAAATTATCCCTTATCAATATTATACTAATTTTTTTTACAATAAAAGCTGAATTTTTCTTGCCAATAATTATCTCATCTCTTTGAAAAATTATTTTCCTGCATTTGCCACCTCATTGTTTACTACAGTGACAAATGTGTTTTCAGATAGAATTGAAGATGCATAATGTCGGAAAATTTTCTGGTTTCCACTGTTTAGAAAGTTAAAACAAGAGATCCTGCTGTAACCTTTTTGTAAAGGAAAAAAAAAAAGAAGAATGTTAGCACATGTTCACGAGGGGTAGCTGTTTGAATGGTTGGTAACCTTTTCTTCATCTTAAAGATACTAGTCAGAGGGCTTCCTTTGTTCGCTTCTCAAGGGAAGGGAAGAGGAGACGAGACCAGTCATCCAACTTATGGATGAGTGTGAAACTGCTCCAATTTGTGTGTGCCAGCTGCATACACATTTGAGTGAGACAGGCCAAGTGCTATATGACTTGAGCAAAAGACAAAAACAAGCATCGAGAGAGAGAGAGAGAGAGCTGACCTTGTAGTCTCTGTTTACCAGCTGCATACAGATGTGAAGGGGATAAGAACAGCTTGGCGGGTCTCACACTCGATTGAAAGTCTTGGTTTTGATGAGGGCCTTCCGGTGGGAGATTTCTTCCAACTTCGGCCAGCATATCGGAAGAGATTGGAGTGAGCGGAAACATTTGAGATCTTAAGATCAGTGGTTATACGTGTTCTTACAGCCTGCAGTGATTAAAGAGACGATGACCTGAACCTGGACACAGATCCGTTTTCTTCGTTGCATGAATGCTTGGCTTCTTCGGGGACGCCATTGATTCCGGACAACGCCCCGTGACTCGCGGAAGCAAGCGCGTGCGTGGTAACGGTGGACTTCCACAGGTCTTCGAGGAGACAGCCCCATCCATCCATTTAAACGTCACATTTGATTGGTTCGCATAATAATATCGGAAATCGAAGAAGAAGAAGATGTCAACTAAGCTGGTTTTAACCAACTAATAACATATTATTTATTTATTTATTTATTTTTAATTCATACCTAACTATATGAGGTTCTTAAAAGTATAAAAACAAATTAGGAAAAAGATAAAGACAAAATTCAGATTTGAGCCAAATAACTTGTGATAAACTATGATTTTTTTAAAATAATAAATATATAAATTTAAAATATAAAATATAAAGTTCAAAAACTCTTAAAAGTGTCATTTTTAAGTTTTATAAAAATATATTTTAGATATTTTATATTTGAATATTTTTAAACCCAGTGATAATAATGGTTGAAGGAATATATGTGCTATGTTAAGTTTAGAGTACTAACTAGTAATACATGTATATATATAAATATATATATATATATATATATATATATAATTCATTATTGATTGATCCTCAACCTAAAATCAATAAGACAAGTACATCATCATGACTAATGTTGTATAATTATTGGAATAATCACTAGATGATTTGATTAATAATTGGATTAAATTTGGATGAACTAAATTATAAAATCAAGCTATCATCTATGGGTTGCCATAGCGTAAAGGAATCAACATATACTTTTGTTAGAAAGAATCGACGATGGAATTTACCATTGTCAGTTAAGTAATAGGAATCCACTGCTATAGGTGCAGCGTAGGAAGCCTCTGTTGTTACTAAATGCCAGCCCACATGTTTTGTTGGTTCTTTGTCGGAGGTTATATCGAGAGATTATGATTTATTAAATTATAGTTATTTGTACTAATATCGAACTAAGCTTTCTTCATAGCTTACTCTCGATCTCATCTTTGAATCTTAAATTTTGATGATGAAATCAATTGATAAATTTATAGACTAATATACTTTTGAAATAAGTGACACAGAAATTACTTCGATCAAAGACTCGAATCATCAAAGGGTAAATTGTCGAAGCAGAAGAATCAAATGTTATACTAAGAAAAATATCATATTACAAATTGAATGTCGAGCTAGAGGATTGACCGACATGTCCGAAGATTAGACTGTGTGTTATAAGTTCAAGCATCGTGATAGAAGGATTGGGTATTGTACCAAAAGATAGAATATCGTAGGAAAATCGACACGTTGATAGACCGAACGATATGTTGAAGGAAATGACAATGTCCTAGAGATTTGGATGAAGTGTCAGAAGATCGGATGACATGCTAGAATGGCATACGTGTTGAAAGCTTTATAATTGTTCCGAATATGTGATTAGAATGTTAAAGTCTTGATCGAGGTCTTTTGGGTCAAATTGAGTTGGTATTGGTCCGAAACTATGCCAACATATCAAGGAACATATTGGGCTTGAACCAGGGTCAAATTGGGCTTTTTAAAAGACTAAATCGATAACCTAAAGCAAGCTTGAGCGATGGTACCGCCAGGCCCAAGTGGTAGTACCGCTTGAGTCAATCGAAAAGTATTGTTTGTGCTATTTTGGCGGTAGTACCACATAGGTTGGTGATAGTGCTAGTCATAGGTACTCTGCAAGCCAATCACGTGAGTGATGACACGTGTGACGTGACGCGCAGTCACTTTGTTTATTATTATTATTTGGTATTTTATCACTTTATATTGCTCATTGCATGAATATATTGTGATGTCCATTGATTTATGCAATGGGAATCGGATTGTGATGAGATCACGATAATGAGACCGATTCGCCTTTAAACACAGATCCTAAATAATCCCGATCATAGGTTACTCGAGAGGGATATCGAGATAACCGGACAGATTGATGTGTTGTATACCCATCCATATGATGGATGCAGTTGGTCTCATAGCTACTCATGTGGGGACACTAGGGATACAGTGCATTATTAGATCCATTAATTTTGTTTACGATGCTTGAATGATCCATATTTCATCGATCTGTATTCCTATCTATTTTGTTTTGTTGCCTGCTTTCTAGCAATGTTAGATTTATTGTAAATGCGATCTCCAATGATCGTGAAGTAGCAATGGTCGCCGCCGACCTTGCTGTGTACAACCAACGAATATGTTGGCGGTAGAGGTTGCGTTGGGCAATGTGCATGCCGCAGCGCAGTAGACGACAACCATACGTGGGCATCACTATGCCCATGTAGATGCTACACGCGGGCAGCACTATGTTTTAGGACTCTAGCTAGAAGAGTCCTAATTGAATTTTATTGAAATGGGCATTCATGTAAAACCTACATAGCCGACCCCTATTAAAGAGATGAAGAGGCCGGTTAGGGTTAGGGTTAGTTAGGAGGTTGCTTCTTAGAGTAGGAGTCTTATTAGGAGTTTGTTAGAAGTATGAGTCTTGAGTAGGAGTCCTATTAGGAGTTAGGATTTAGAAGCCTATAAAGTCATGTATTCATCCTCTTTTAACAAGTAATAGATAAATCTTTTTAGTAGCATTTTAGCAGCAACTTAGAGGAAGGAACCCATATAGAGTTCCAAGGAGGCTGGTCCCGTAAAGAGATCAACCCCAAGCTTCGAATCTGCAAGGGTTCTAACACTTGATATCAGAGCAACGTTCTTGGCATCTCGCTGCCCTTCCACGGCCATCCATCTACCATCAGCTCCACCATCACGGATCATCCTTTAATCTTCTTATGAATTGCAACAGGTTCTGGTTTCCTACCTTACTACTGCTGCAATTTAGTTATCCTTATTCAAAAATCTAAAAAACAATTCATTCTTATATTGCTATGTGAACTTTTCATCGTAAAGTTTTTATCTCTACTATGAAAGATGCACTACAGAATTCCAACCGCATAACACAAATTGTTTGATGTTGCTACTGCGCTTTTTCTATCCAAATCTCTATAAAATTTTTATAATAGCTTTGACACTTCCTAACAATATATTTTCTTTTATTTTTGTCAAAAAATCCCCAATATAAACCACTGATCTTTTACGTCCAATCTGCTAAATGCACTATAAAATTTTAACTACATAGCATAATTTGTTTGATCTTGCTACTATGTTTTTTCTATCCAAGTCTCTACAAAATTTTTATGATCACTTCCTAATAGTGGATTTCTATTTGGTTTCGTCAAAAAATCCCCAATATAAACCACTGATCTTTTACGTCCAAGTTGATAGATGCACTGCAGAATTCCAGCCGCATAGCACAATTTGTTTGATCTTGCTACCGTATTTTTTCTGTCCAAATCTCTACGAATTTTTTATGACAGCTTTGACACTTTCTAACAGCAGATTTCCCTTTAGTTTCATTAAAAAAATTCTTAATATAAACTACTAACCTTTTACGTCCAAACTACTA